GATGCAAAATATGTGCTGTGGATTAAAAGAAAATTTTCATCAATCTAAACTTTTCCCAAATATTATCAGTTACTAATCACTTGGTTCAGTTTAACACGTTTCTTAAATAAAAAACAAAACTCTAAAAAAACATAATAGGCATTTAGTAACAGCACACTTAATGTGGGAACAGCTACTAGATACCATTATTGGTACTTGATCCAAATGGCTGTTAACCCATTTATTACTGTGTATGGCTTGCTTGTAAATTAATAAACAGAATGGTAGTCAGGCACTTTAACCTGTACAGAGTGATTGTGTGACAGTCTCCCCCAGTGGCGTAATAAGGGAGGAGTGGGGGGGGCAATCTGCCTCGGGTGCCACCAGGTAGGAGGGTGCCACCATCGCTGGCCAGGCTTAGGATTGCGTGAACTGTGTGGCTGCATAGGGCCCCATAGCAACAGTGGCGCCGGGCAGCCGACACAGCTCACACACGCAGGAGTCAACCGAGAACACAGCAGGAGCACTATATGGGGAGTTAAGGGCGGAGTCAGATTGGCAATGGGGGTGGAGCTAAATCGGATACGGGGGGCATAACTAATAACAGCCTCTTACTGCTGCTTACTGAGGGGAAGCAGGAAGGAGTCCCTGCTTCCCCCAACAACTACATACCATGGATTGCAATGAAACAACTCTTCCTCCAGTCCATACTGTCAGTAAGTGGGAGTAGCTGTGTGTGTAACTGTGATTGTGTCTTTCTGCCTGTGACTGTATGTCTGTCTGTCTGCCTGTGACTGTGTGTGTGACTGTCTGTCTGTGACTGCCTGTGACTTTGTGTGTTATAGTCTGCCTGTAATTGTGCATGTGACTGCCTGTAACAGTGTGTGTGTGTGTGTGTGACTGTCTGCCTGTAACTCTGTGTGTGTGACTGTCTGCCTGTAACTGTGTGTAGCGGATTGCATTGGGCTGTCAGCAGAATGGTGTGTTAAAATGTGTTTCGTTAATTCTCCTGCTATGTATATTCCTATTTTATGCAGCTTGTTCAGTAAAACTCCTCCGTTCGACATACGAACAAACTACTGAACAACCAGACCACCCCAGAGTGAAGTGTGCCTCCAATTACCCCTCGCAACAATGTGCTATCCAGCAATTGACAATTAAACAAAATGTATGCTATGTTCCCTGGGTGGCTGCCATTCGGTATACGAACACGTGGCGGCGGCCATCTTGCCATACGAACGTCCAGTGGGTTTGGTCGTTGAGTGTCTGGAACCCAAATCGGCCACTCGACTACGCGAACACCGCTGAGACCTCCATACCTCCATCCTTTTGTGTAGAAACTACCAAACGGCCCTCCGTTCGGTAGAAAGAACCCCATGAACAAGAGGATTTACACAAATCCACCCCAGTCTAAGTAACCCATTGCTTTTGTGTGTTTTTTCCACTTTCTCTGAGACCGACCCCAGGGCCAGAATGTGTGGAACTAATCTCGGCTGCTATTCCCGGTGCGGTTGGTCTTTTTAATACCTCCATACAATTCCTGAACCCCTGGTCCGATTTGGGTGATTTTTGAGTATGTTGCTCACCCAGATCAGGGCTACCAGGGGGTGTAACCCCAATAGAAGGGGTACATCCAGGAAACAGGGAAAACTGTGTCCTACATAATGGGATTAGGTGTCATGCTGAGGGGAGGAGAAGTGTGGGTGGTAACACTAATACTGTTGGTTACTGTACTAATTATTGTGGGTGTCTCTCTTGCATGGCAGAAATGCTTAAAAGAAGGATGTGTGGATTAAAAGTTCAGTTCTGCTCCGGATGCTGTGTGTCGTCCAGTCATTGGGAAACGTAACGGGATACTTTTGGATTATTTAACTAATCATGGATATTATTTTCTTGGGTTTTATTACTTGTTCCTGACTTGGATTACCAGCAGAGATAGTCTGTGAGAGACCAGCTCTCTGCTACACTGTGTGTTTGACTGTGTGTGAGTGACTATGTTTCTGGGACTGTGTGCATGTGGTTGTATTTGACAGTATATGTGTATACCTGTGTTCATCTGACTGTGTCTGACTGTCTTTGCCCTGCAGCGAGCAAGCATATAACATCATCCCGGCATCGGCGTCATTACAGGGTGCACAAGGGACCTGTGCAGGAAGAGTACAGAGATACCAGCAGCAACCACTGACCACCAGGGACTGAGGATCCAGACCAGCCTACCCAGAGCAAGGTAGGGAGGCTGGGTGAACCTCACATTATTAAATGTGTGTATGTATGTGATGTTTATGTGTGTATATCTGATTATGTGTGCATGTGATTGTGTGTCTGTGATTGTATGTGTGTGGGTCTGTGATTATGTGTGTATCTCTGTGGTTAAGTATATGTGTTGTAATTGTGTGTGTGTTTCTGTCGTTATGTGTGTGTGTGTGTGTGTATATATATATATATATATATATATATCTATATAAATGTGTATGTGTTTGGTATATAGCTCCTTTATTTGGTGGCCTTAAATATGGCAATCCCACATGATAAACAAAGATCGAAGTTGAGAGGTGTCAGCCAGTCCACAACAAGAAATCTGGGTGGCTAATGTGAATTATATGCAAATTTGTTGACTAATGTCAACATGCACAACATTACCACATCCCCTAGTGAAACATTTTAGTGCCCTCCCAGTTTTGACTGTGGTATCTTATGTGCCCCCCCTATTTATTGTTCCTAGAGTAACCACTGTGTCTGCATGTGTGTCAGTGTATCTGTATGTGTCTGTGTGTCTATGTTTCTGCATGTGTGTCAGTGTGTATATATGTGTGTATATGTGCATACATCTCAGAATCTGGGCAACACTACACACACATACACCCATTAATTTCAACATCAACACTACATACAAACCCCACCATTATATATAACCATATCACTGCATTCAAAATCCACACTACACATAAATGAATGCCTTCATTCAAACACCAACACCACACACAAACACCCCCCCTACTCAGCCCCGCATCATAAAGGGAAATGAATAGCACAATTTGTATAGCTATGGTGAATAGAAAATAGGGTAGGGGGTAGACCACTGCAACTGTAGGTCAGCTCACTATAGTCTCTCTTTATTTCAGACACAGATATGGAATGTTTTTTCAATCCCTTCTTTGATACGTCAGTTTTAACCAACTTGCTACTCTACCTGAACATATACCATAAAGTGAACCCTAGGGAATTACCTGCCACTATTTTACTTTGAAAATTCTGCTTAGATAAAATACACGCACACCTTGAACTGTTACTTATGTACCGACACCTAATTTAAAAAATGGAAAGTTGAGCTGTTTTAGCCAATCACAGTCTTCTAACTTTTACACTTAGAGAAAAGTATCCTCCTTAGTAAGTGGTGTCAGTCTTCATGAAGCTGCTGGTTTGAACCATACTGAAACAAATTTGTTCAACTATTTGACGGAAAGTCAGTAGAAGAAGTCACTTGGGGTCAGTTTCAATCCAGCGTTCATTTCAACAGTGTTTCAGAGTTATTCCTATCGCATTCATAATAAACTGTGGTATAAAGTTCTAAAAAAAAAAATTAAGTTCACTTTCTACATTTTGTACAGATGTTTTGATGCAAATTTGTGATACATACCCAAACGTATTTCTAATTGTATAATGTGTCTTATTGCTAAAAAAAAAAAAATTCTCCAAGTTGGGCTCACTGCTGATACATGTCAACACTATCTAATAAATCTCCAGTATCAGAGCTGCTGTATTAAATGTAATTATTTATACTAATCAAGGTAGAAATGATGAATAACACAGATCCGCAATTATACTATTAATTCTCTCTGCCATCACTCCCAAATTCCTCGGCTACCTCTTTTCTCATCTCCCCATTCTAACCTTTAGATTGTGAACTCATGGGTATCAAGCATAAAACTAAGCTTATCAACTATTGTTGTCGCTTCAAAAAATTTGAGAAATAAATATATATTTTTTTAAAAATCACATTTTACCAGGATTTTCTTAAAAAGAAAATGCATTTATACAAATTGACGAGACTTTGATAAAGGACTTTAATTAAAGGGATGGCACAATTCCCCCCTCTCTCTCTCTCTGCAAAGGTTTATGGCAATCCCTTTTACCTAATTACTATAATAAGGTATACTATATCAACATGTATAAATTTACAAAATAAGGGGTGTCAATATGCAGAAGCGGCTCTAGACTTTATGAGGCCTTAGGTGAAATTCAAGCACGAGGCCCCACTAACTCCCAAAGTATAAAATAATAGGGTTGTGCCTTGTGTGTGTGTAAGGAGCAGTCGTTGTACTGAAAGGTGGGCTTGCAGCACTGGATACAGAGAGTCAGTCTCTGCATTCATTGTTCAGAAGCTTGCAGTGTCGCGGCTTCCTGTGCCCCTGCATTGTGAGCTCTCTGGCTGTAGTTGTAGCATAATTTGCAAACAAAATTAATTTGCAACAAATACATTTAATTTGCAATTATGCCAATTGTTTATACACAATTGAGGGGTATAGTTGCATAGCATGGCAGTCGTGTATACATAAGTACTGGTGTAAAGGGGTAATTGAAAACAAAAATGAAATTTTGTTTGAGCAAAAAATCTTTAAAAAAATCATTTACCAAATAGCAAAGTGTGTATGATGTATGTCTTCAGCTGGTGACTGTGACAAAGTAAGTAAAGGGGTACCAGTGGCAGGGAGAGTTTGACAGGATGAAGGGCGGTAAATGGGACAGGGTGGGGGGTTGTGGGAGAGAAGGAGGTCGGGTGAGTATGACATGGTTTGATGGGGAGTGTGACAGGGCAATAGTGGCATGGTAGGAGGGACGAGTGTGACAGGATTGGAGGGCTTAATGTGACAGGGTGAGTGTGGCAGAGTGAGGGCAAGTCAGAAAAAATTAGATTAACAGGATTAGGAGTGGTTAATGTGAGTTTGCATGTGTGAAGGGGCTGGAAGTGTGGAGGGGGGATGACAGTATGGTGACGGGTGACAAAGTGTGGGAATGTGACAGTGTGTGTGGGGAGGTTAACAGTGTGTGAGAGTATGGTAACACTACAATGTGGGGGGTGACAGTGTGTGGGGGGCATGACAATGTGTGTGTGAGGGGGTGACAGTGTGTGTAAGGGAGAGTGGCAGTATGTATAAGGAAGGGTGACAGTGTGTGTGAGCGGGATGATACTGTGTGTGGGAGGGGGTGACAGTTTGTGTGTGAGGAGTGATACTGTGTACATGGGGGGATGATCCTGGGTGGAAGGGGGTGATACTGTGAGGGACAGAGGGATGATACTGTGAGGGACAGTGGGGTGATACTGTGTGGGACAGTGGGGTTATAGCATGTTGGAGGAGGGTGATAGTATGTGGGAGGGGGTGATACTGTGAGGAAGGGCATGATTGTGTGTGGGAGGGGGTAATACTGTGAGGGAGGGGGTAATACTGTGAGAGAGGCGGGTGATACTGTGAGGGAAGGGAGAAGGGTAATACTGTAAGTAGGGAAATATTGTGAAGGTGGTGGATGATAGTGTGAGGGAGGGGGGACATTGGGAGGATAATACTGTGAGGAGGGGAATACTGGGAGGTAGGGGATAATACTGTGAGAGGGGAAATACTGGTAGGGAGTGGGGAATACCCAGAGGGGTGATGGTGTTAGGAAAGGGGTATACTGGGAGGGGGTGATAGTTAGGGGGAATACTGGAAGGGGGTTATAGTGTGAGGAAGGAGGGATACTGGGAGGAGGTAATGGTGGTGTGGGAGGGGGGTGAGATCGAATATCTTCATTCCCTCGTGGTCCAGTGTCCTTCATGCCCTGATCGTCCGGTGGTGATTTCACAGTGTGCAGAGCTGCAGACTATGTATATCGCGAGACCCAATCAGAGCCAGATCTTGCGAGACACATGGTCTGCAGCTCTCCACACTGCAGAGCTGCAGACCGGCAGCCACGGGCACTCTCCTCCATGGCAGATGCCAAAGAGGGGCCTCGAACCCGACAACATATCGAGCAAGCTCCTGGGCCCCCTCCTGGTGTCAGGCCCTCAGTTACTGACCGAGGACTCGACACATTAGTCTGCCCTAAGCGGTTTTAGGTGGCCGCGAGGCCCCAGACAACGCGAGGCTTCAGGTGGCCGCCTAAACTGCGTAATTAGAGAGGCGCCTCTGTCAATATGTATCTATTTTTAAAATAAATGTTATTTGCAAATCACATAAACGACAAATTCAACTTTAGATAGGTATAACTCTAGTCTGTGGGTAGGCAATATTTGGCACTTCAGATGTTGTGAACTACATATCCATTTGTGCTTTGCCAGCATTATGGTTGTAAGAGCATTATGGGAAATGTAGTCCACAACATCTGAAGTGCTGAAGGTTGCCTACCCTTGCTACTGGAAAAACATATAGTTCAAAAGATTCACCCATCTGATGGATGTCTCCCGAGTGCAACTTGAAGTCCTCACTCAAGTAGAGCAGCGTATGCTCAGCCACACTTGGCCCACTTTGTTGTAGTCTTCTCTAGCAAAAAACAGAAAGGACAACTGAAGGTCAAATAACTTTTAAATTATACACTTGCTAGTAAATTTTCTGAATATCAAAAACATAGATTGCACAAAGTGCAGCTTAGTTGATAAGGACCACTAGTGAAAAGCCACAGAACTTTTAACTAGTGGGCACCAAAACAATGATTTTGAGATCCCAATCCTTTGCCAGGATATTATACATTGATAAAGGGACAGGGGCCCCAAAGCATATGTTTTGTGGTGCTCGTCACTAAATGTTCTGTGGGTTTCACTGGTGGCCCTTATCAACTAAGCTGAGCATTGTGCTTTCTCTTTGTTTTTGATATTTATGTTTATTGCTATGGTACACTAGTGTGAAGAATTTTTATTTTTTTGGTACTGCAGTAACTGCACTCCACCCACATCTATTTTTTACATTTAGTAATTTTGCTAGTGCAAGGTATAAATGCACTTTAGTGGCCTATAAAGTGACGTCAAGTTGCTTTTGTCATGGCAGGTGCACTTCATCTTAAGTCCATATGTTCAAAATGCCACGCATAAAAAAGTACCCTGGATTTCTTGCTTCTCCACATTTAATAATAAATCCTACATTATAGGTAGTGATATATCTCTAGGTCACAATTACCAGACTCCTCTGTAATCCCAGAACAAGACTTTTGGTTGACAAATGTTTCTCGGGTCAATGACAATCTGGCCTTATGTTGTTTAGTTTGGATTTACAGCCTGTAATATTTGCTGCTGCTGGACTCCAACTCCCAGCAGAGTATGTCAGCAAAACAAATGTATTATAGATTATTTAGAGCTGCTGGTTTATAATCATGCCATCGAGTTCTAAAGATGTTCTTATAACATGACAAAGGACGCTGCAGCACTTACATCTCCTGAACTGACAACAGATGCAGGTTTCTGCATCACTCTCCCATACAATCAGCCAGTGCAGGAGAAAACACAGAGAGTATGTCAGGTGTTCTCTTGCTTTTAATGAGGACAGTCTAGCAAGTCTGCGAGATACCAAAGACATGATGTGATGAGCTTAATTTGATCTTCAGTTTGCTTTATGTAGTTAAACAGCTCTTTCGTTTTATAACACCATTAATAAGAAGGAGCGTGAGCTTTTAATTGTGTTTCACATGTCATCATCTACATTCAGAAGAAGAAAATCGAGTCCCTCTGCAATCATTAGAGAGAACCAATGTCTGGCTCCACAGCTAACTGGGGTTAAGCCTCTCAAGATGCTAAGTAAGGCTTAGCTCATGTCAGCCACTGCTAGAAGTAACCGTTTATTTAGCTAAAGGGTATCTACCCTATCATGTGATACATCCTGTTATTTATAACCTTCAGACTGCCAGAGGGATGTGCGGCACATTACATGCTCACTCATTTAGCCTACAACATATTAGGTACGCCTTTCTTACCCTTGCACTTAATGGCTTGGATGTGCTCTTTGCATTTATTTCAACATCTTAATTTTTACAACAAAAATCATGCCTTTGACAAACTATAGGGTAACATCCTGTGCAAATGTAACCTTTTCATTCTTTATTTCATACACATATTTCTTTATGGTGCATATTAATGACGGGGAAAGGAAATATCATGCTTGGCAGATAAGAGAATGTTGTGTAAAAAGTCTTCAGAGTAAGGTGATCGTATATTTCTACAGACGAAGGACTATGGAATAGCACAAGTATAATTTGAGGGGAACTACCGGGCAGCAGTTGATGGATGAAATGGTCTTCACAGGGGAACATATCTTATGGTCAGCTATTTATCAAAATTAAACAAAAAATGTGTGAAGAGTGTGTCCTCTTTTTTTATATTTACAAACGTGCAGATTTCAATAGAAATTGGCACTTTCATAAATTAACCTTGTTATGCCCCCTGGCTGTCATTCAGACAGCTGATCATATTACTTCCTGGTTTGGTTAGCTTAGTGGAGCTAAACTCAAAAGTCAGCAATTGCTCAGAGCACCAGCTTTGCAAAGACTTTTTATTGAGCTGCCCTAGAAAGTCTGTGATTGGACAGCCACAGAAAGTCTGGGCTACAGGTACAAGAGAGGTTACAGACATGAAATCTACAACTTTTGCAAGCTGATATTAGATAAACCTCCAATGAAAGAATAAATACATAATTAGATGCATTCATGTTTTCATTAAGGTATATCTAATAAATTGTTAAAAATATATATTTTTTCCTTTGGATTGCTCTTTTAAGCATGGTAGTGTAATCGATCGGGGAATGTCAGGTCTAAATCTTCTTTTTTCCAAATGAGTAAATGTCTCCAATATCCAAACTAACCAACTCTCCCTTTGTCCACTTGAAGTATGTTAAGTGATGGGACATTAGTTTTTTAAGGGTATGTTCACCATTAACCTTACTGCTTAGGTTAACCACCATGCTCGTATTAGGATTTCCGCCATAGGAAAACATTGTATAATGCATTCCAATGGGGTTTTGGGTGAAGCTGGATGTTCTCATGCCTAACGACCCGGACGTTGATCCAAAACTGCAACAATTACCAATGCATAGTTAAGGGACCTGGGACACTGCACCCATATCACTTCAATGAGCTGAAGTGTTCTGGGTACCTATAGTGTCCCTTTAAGCGAGGCTCCCACTAAAAAGTAATTTACTTAAATGTTGTCATTACAAAATGACATAAAGCAATGCTATATATCAGTGATGGTGAACCTATGGCACGCATGCCACAGGTGGCACGCCGGGCCCTTTCTGTGGGCACGCAGCCATAGGTTTGCCATCAATGCAGAGTAGGCATCTGCCTGCCCAAAACGGCAGGCGCCTACTCTGCTTCCATGTCGGGAGGCAGGGGGAGGGATCTGTGAAGCAGCTCCCCTGTCCTCCAGCGAGCAAGCTGTGTGGAGCATTGCCTCACGTTACCATGGCAACGCTCCACACAGCATCGTCTGGGAGAACAGGGGAGCTGCTTCACAGATCCCTCCCCCTGCCTCCCGACACAGAAGCAGTGCTTGCCACCACCGGACCACCAGGGATGGCTGTGTCCCCCCCTACTTCATTAAAGGTAAAAAGGAGGGAGGGGGGATACTGATTTAGCATACTTTTTTTTTTAAACACCTTTACCCCAGCCCCACACACACAGCACTCCTACCCCTAGCCCCTCACACAGAGTACCCTTACTCCTCCCACACACAGTATCCCTACCCCCCCCAAACAGCACCCCTCCCCAGCATTCCTCCCCTCCCCCACACCCAGCATCCCTCCCCTACCCCACACCCAGCTTCCCTCCCCTCCACCCAGCATCCCTCTTCACCCCTACCCCCACACACACAGCAGCCCTACCCCCCACACACACAGCAGCCCTAACCCCCACACACAGCACCCCTACCCCCACACACAGCACCCCTACCCCCCACACACAGCAGCCCTAGCCCCCCACACAGCACCCCGACAACACACACAGCACCCCAACAACACACACAGCACCCCTACTCCCCACAGCACCCTTAACCCCGCCCAGCACCCCTACCCCCCACACCGTGTGTGTGTGTGTATTCAGCAGTCTGTGTGTGTGTGTGTATTCAGCGGACTGTGTGTGTATGTATTCAACGGACTGTGTGTGTATGTATTCAGCAGTCTGTGTATGTATTCAGCAGTCTGTGTGTGTGTACTCAGCAGTCTGTGTGTGTGTGTGTACTCAGCAGTCTGTCTGTATGTGTATTCAGCAGACTGTG